AACCCTTTAACAGCAAACATTCCCCGCAATGCTCTTTTAGGTAATAATCATGTTCATGACTGCGCTAAACCCTATATAACCTATAACCCCTATACCCTAAACCCTATACGAAATTACGGACCCATACTTCTAACCTTAGCTGCCAGCCTGCTCTTGTAGGTAGCTGTCTATTGTGTTGGCCTCTGCATCCTGCGAAACTTGCTCGCTGCAACCATATAACTCCAATATACTATGGTAGTTTCCATTTTCCATTATCCCTATAACCCTTATATATATATACATACATACATCGTACATACGCTAAAATCTGTTTCTAACCTCTATATATATATACACACACCCTATAATCAATACATAAGGCAGAAGCGGTTAAACACGGAAACACGGGAGGGAACAGGGCCGCCCCATTGGGGTAATATTAGAGTTATGTTGGGGATATATTCAGGTCATATTGGGATAATGGAAAATAAAATGGAAACTACTATTTAGGGTTTTCGGTTCGGGGAGACACTTCGAATCAATTGTTGCTGACTCCCGTACTAACAACTTTCAGCTTTGCACGCCTATCATACGGTGAAACCTGTCTAAATTCATTTGCATCATACAGGGCTGGTCCACTTTGCCACGTCTTCCAGATACCCCAAACCCCCAACCCCAAGCTATGTCCGCTGTCCTCTGCTGCGAGTCGGCCAAAAATCGCCAGGAGAGCGATCTCCGCAATCATGGCCACAAGATGACGGTCCAAACAACGTCTCTAAGTTTACTTCAAGGTTTCATAAGAATGCTTGTTGGGGAGCTCCCAAATTGCCAGAAGCCTTGTTGATCGCACTTGCTCATTAGATCTCATTAGTGGGCCCTAGCCGTCGAAAGTATACAGAAAGTCTACTTGTACATGAAGTGTGGAGAAGTCCCACGGCCGGGTCTCTAGCTGCTTTAGAAGTGGGTAAGGAAAGCTATCTGACGAGGAAGCATGCCTGATATTGCTTTTTGTTTTTGCATCCTACATGCAGGAGCCACGCTGCAAAGGAAATCATCATCCACCTACATGCAACCGTACTAATTTGTTTTTGCATTTGGGCTTAGTACACTTAAATAGGTCTGTCAAGAGCAGCACCAGTAGCCAGATGTTAGGCCCCCGGAGATTTCCCAACATCTGCTCGAACACCTCGCGCGCCTCCAACCAGCTGGACCTAGTTTCTCCAGTAACCACTTGATAGTGAGGGTACCCCGTTGCCTAATGTTCAGCCTTAATAAGGAGACCCCAAAGTAAAAAAGGAAAAAGGGTAATGGTGGAGTACCCAGGAAATAAAATCAGCAATGCTCTCATGTCAGGGGGCTGTGCATTCGATTCCACTGAAGCCAATCTGCTCCCTGCAGCCCTAAGATCTCAGCGCCGCCTCCTCCCGTGGAATCGGCCATCGAACGAGCACAGCCTGTCGTGGGCAGATCTGATGAGGCTCCTGTTCCATCAACTTCAACACATCTCAAGTTGTTGAGGCGTTCCTTAGGGGATAATGCAAGACATGTTCATCACTCGTGAGAAGGGCTCAATTCAACCAAGGGCGCGTGCCGCAAAGGCCTATGATGCACACGCAATGGATCCACCTTCAGCACTGAAGATGCCTAGCTCGGAGCCCAGCAGCCTATCTAGCACCAGTACTTTGAAAATGGCGATGGCGCGTGCCAAGATGATCTTATAGGATTCTCGGTAGCAAGGTTGCCTCGAAGGTTGCGCCTTACTTTTGCATCGCAGATCGAGAGCAGCTATCCGGATGTTAGGTGTGTGGAACAGAAACGCCCACCTCACAATCTACATCGTTTTGGGAGGGGGGGGGGTCCTTATAATAAGAGGTATATTATCTTGGGGTCTATGTTCGGGTCCCCGTTGCCATGATTCTCTCAACTATATCAACCCCCCCACCCAGTAATTGGTACCATGGGGGGCTATGATAGGTACATTAAGGTCTGAGGGCTATAATTCTAGGTGGGATTGACCTAAACGATGCGCCCTATCTGCTCTTGAACCCCAAAGCCCTTAACTAGGGTGGGTAGGGAGCCTATAAAAATCGAAGTCTGTGTACTTTATGGCTTTATAAGGATTATACAGGAAATAAGGGTAGCAACAGTGCAAATTTATTTTCAAACCTACCCCTGTACACACGGCTGGCAAGGGAAGGCTCTGAAACCTGCAGGCTGTAGGAAGGGTCCCCCACGCAATCTAAAGCTTGAAAAAACAATTTCCACGTTCTTTTCTAGTATCCCTTAATCCCCTATGCAACCCTAAATAGTGGTTTCCATTTTCTTTTGCAAGTATCCCTTGATCCCCCCAATGTGATCCCTATCAGGGGAAACCAATTTCAGCCATCTGCCAGGGGCCTCTTTGTGGACTCTAGAGCCAAATCTTATAATCTCCCTTAAGTAGATAGAATATGAGATTTATGAGGCTTCTTATTCTAACATACCCAAAGCCAGATTCTATCTACTTAAGAGGGGTTATGCATTGTGGAGCAACCCAGAGCGTTTTTAGAGGTTTAGGGTTTAGGTAAGGGTTAGGGTTAGGATTAGGTTTAGGTTTAGGGTTTCAGTGACCCATTAGGTTTATTGGTGGTTAGTAGGGAAGAAGGGAAAATAATCCCAATGTATTCCCTTTGTAATGTATGCCCTTATTCCCTACTAACCACCAGTAAGTAGGGGTGCCCTGAGGATCTACCTGGCTTATCAACCCCACGTCCCAATACCCTAAACTCTATATGGAGGTTTCCTAAAAGTAGGGGTACCTTGTGGGAGTCCCCATAATGAGGATTATTGTATTTGGGGGTCTATATTCGGGTTCCCCCTATTTTGGGAAACTACCATATACCCGTAAATAACCCTATATAACCATTATATAACCCCTAATAGTCCCCTTTTAAAGGTACATCCAAAAGCTTGGAGGGGTGCTGCCTCGGGGGTCCATTTGGCCTTGGACGTGGTTGCGCAGACCTTGGGGCGTCTAGTCCAGATGAGCCATAGTCTAAACTCCTAGAATCCCCCTTAATGGCCCTGTAGTAGTCCCCTGTATACGCCCTTATATTGAGGAGTTTCAATTAGGGCTCAGATACCGGCGTTATAATGAAGCAACACATGTCAGAGCTTGCCTGTCAGCTTGCAAGTGATAGCTAGCAACATCTGACCGACCAGCACAAAGACATAAACCCGAGTGGGGGAAGCACGACCTGACCAATACGGGCTTCTTGGCTCACACCATGTGAGCTATAGTCTTAACTCCTTGAGGGGGGCTTTATAGGGGAGTATTATGGGAGTTATTTGAGGGGATACTAGGAGTTTAGACTATAGTTCATGTAAGATAAGCTATGCCCTTCTTTCAGTATCTCCAACGAGATCAGTTCGAGCCAGGCAGGACGAAAGGGTTCAAAACAAAAAAGAGAAGGAGCGCTGTTTATTTGGCAATACATCTGCGTTCTGAAGTGCCGCTGGTGTCTTAACGAGCTGCCAGAAACTCCTCCAGTGGTAGGCATTTCTCCGAAGTTAGCGCCCAACATCTTCCACACCCCAAGGCAGAATCCGAGTGTTAGGAAACTCCCAGAGCCTAGAACCCACAACCCTCAACTCTGGAAAGCCTGCAGGGCTTCAGTTTCAGCTGTTCCACACCTACTCTGGTAAGGTTTCAGGCTTTCGGATTTACGGTTTGTGGTTTAGGATTTTTTTTGGTGGATGCTGTAGGGATATATAGAGTAATGGAAAAGAAAAGATAAAACAGAAACTACTGCATTTCCAGGGTTTCGAATTCAGTGAGGGTTTTTGGGGATCCTGCGGGGAGCACACGGGGATATGTAGGGTACTGGTACAGAAACTAGAAACTACTACATCGTTTGGGGTTTGGCGGTCGCAGGTTTCGATAATCAAACGGAAGATAAAATGGCAGTTGCGCTGATCTAGGGCCTAAATATTACTTGGGAACATAGAAACAGCACACATTTGGAAAGAGAGCCATTCAGGGAGTACTGTTCGGTCTTCCTAAACAGCATAGGTCGCAGTGGAAGGTCACCAAAGCCACATGCAGGCAAGACGCAAATAAATGGCCACACTAACCTTTGCGTAAATGATGCATGCTGGCCTGAAAGTTGTCATCACCTTCGGTGAGACCTGGTCAATTTTGCGAGTCTTTCAGTGGATCATTGGTCCGGGATTCAAACCTCACCAACCGGAGAATGGCGCCACAGAACAGTGTTGAGCAAGCACTGAAACTGTTGATTTTGAAATTGCACCCAACAAATTGTGATACCCAATGCTGCATCAGCAGCACCATAGATGGCGCCTGTTCCCACAACTCGCCGTGTAAACAACGTGGAACCGAAGAGCCAAATTACAAATCCAATGTCGAGAGGTGCCTGCCATGCTGAAGGTTTCCGTCAGCTGTCAGAGCACATCAACAGTTTGCTACCGCAGGTCACCTTCGGCGACACTGCAGGATAACTTGCGCACTCCCCCCGGCCTGTACTTTAGCTGCCCTGTACGTCATGCATGAAGGGATAAATGAAGTATGTCATGTGCTGAAAAAACAAGCCATGCACGACACGGCCGCTAGGGAACAGGGGAGCCCGAAGCATAGTCGGACAGGAGTGAGGAGGTGGCCGGGCTCAAGCAGGTCAATGAGCTCCCTGTCCTTCGACAAGCTGTTAGCCAGGGATGGTGGGATCTCTGCCGAAACCAGACCCAAAAGCGTTTCTGCCCATAAAGAAATCGAGCAACAAGAAATCTTGGCTTGCCTAACGGCTCAGGATTTGGAGGTTGACAAAAGGCTTCAGGTCTCAGTCTTGGGGTTGCCAACTCACTGAGACCAGCTGCTTCTTTTTGCCCACGTAAGCCAACAAGTTGCCCGATACTGGAATCGAAATAAGTGTCATCTAGTGTTCAGTGTTTCGGAATAATTCTGGTTAAGGGGTATCACAAGTTGGACATGCACGTTTGCCGAGAACTTTGCAAAAGGATCGGCGTGCCTGATGGTCGTGCTTTTTCCTTGGCCCGGACCTTAGAATGGAGATGCATCTCGGTTCAAAGGCCTCTTTACTCGTCTAAACAGGCACAGCTGCTAAATGTTGAGATGGAAGCTGCTTGTCTTCGGGTAGGCATGGACAAGGTGTTGTGAAGGCAACGTGTGTACTGACCTTCTGCATGCCTGTCTGCAGCGGCGTGTTTACAGGTATCATGGATTTCGTCATATCTCAGTACTCTCGTTAGATCAGGGTGCTTAGTTTGGGGGCACTGTGGATTGAAGCGCCTGCAGGATAGCGACGGATAGCGGGGATAGTGAGTTGCTGCGCTCTCATGCTCAGTAAAGACTGTCTCTGTGACCATGTAGCACAACACGTATGAATGGCATCTTGCTCCTGGTCATATCGCAAATAGGATCTGGCATTTGACCGCTGAATCAGCAACACAGCTGATCAATAAGGACTACGTGCTCCATAATGCGTGGAGATTGTTGGGAACAGAGAAGGTTACTTGCCATTGAGGTCCTCATCCTCCTAGCAAGACTACCCAGGACTTTGGTCCCCGGCACTGCGCCTAAAATATTTGCGCAGGGAGGCCGGATGCATGGTACTGACTAGGACTCGGAACTCCCATCTAGAATTCCTCCGCTAAATTCATGTCTGATCACTGGAGTTGCCTGTCCATTCCCTTCTTCCAGGCGCGCAAAGTCTTACATGGCTCCCAAAGAAAAAGCTTTCGCCCTGGATACCTGAGACTGCGACACGGCTTGGTCGACGGCTCTTTGCCACAATCGGTGGTGCCTCCTAGAGAGGGTCAGGTGATACGCAATCTGGCGCTGCAAAGTTTAGGCTTTCGAGCTACAGTTACCAGGATCAGACAGTGGCTTGTAGGGGGATAATACCGCAGACTTCGCAGGGCGCCTAGGCACTTTCACCTAAAACTGGAACTTTTGCAGTCCACACAGCCAGAAACTCAGCAGACAAGGTTCGAAGTATACATCTAGATGCACATTGGCACTGAGGGATGCCATTGCAGAGCTACGGCGTTTGAAGAGTTCCCTAATCACGCGTCCACCTCTCACGATTTTCTGCGGTCCTTACTATTCTCCATTGAAGGAGTTCTAAACTAAGGGTGGGCGTGCAACGGCGCTCGGCAGGGGGCCTCTACCCGAGCAAATGGACGGCAAGGTTGAAAAGGGCTCATCTGGCCCTCAGACAATCCTACTGTAGGGCCGAAGGAATTACCAATACCTGTCTAAGGTCTGCTTGAGGTACCCTGTACTGTAATCATACGTGGAGTGTCGGACCATAATGCTTGCAAGCACTCAGGCTTCTACAGTAGATCATGCCTCGCTCGCGAACTTGGTCGTCGAAACATTCGTACTGCGGTGGATACTGACATCGGTGCATGATCTTAAGAACCCAAACCTTAGGAATTATGGTGCTATAGTATACTGAGGTCACGAAGGAATCTTTAATTAATATCAACCGTTTTAGCAACTGGTCTTTTTCGCAGGGGTAGCAAAGCTAGCAATCTTGTCAATCCATTGTTTTCTTCTGTTCGCGGGTCATGGTCCTAGTAAACCCTAGAATAATCAACGCTCCACGCCCTTGAAAACAAACATTCCTTCTTGCACGGTAGCATGTGGACTATAGTCTAAACTCTAGCATCACCCGCGATATGCTCTCTGGCGCTCTCCTATACAATCCCCTACATAACCCTGTTGAAGGAGTTTAAACTATGGCCGTTTCGGGGACAAGGGGGTAGCAGCAGCTGCCTGCCTCTGGCTAGCAAGGAATGAAGAAATGGATCTCATAGCAGTCCCTATACTGTATAACCCCCAATAATCGCCATGGCACTTCGCACCCCTACCAAAAGTTAACTTGTAGGTACCTGTACTAGGAATATAGGGGAACCTCAAACAGTTATGGGTCTCAGGTCCTAGCTACATTCCAACGGGTAATACGATTGTAGCACTTTTCCTTTACATTCCTTCATTCCCTGCTAACCAGAGGTAAGGTTGTAGCATCAGGCCCCGGAACCTTAAACCTATAGTCCCCCTTAGGTAGATAGAACAGGGGGTATACGGGGATACTATCATTAAATACCCGAAGCCATGTTCTATCTACTTAAGGGGGACTATAAACCCTAAACCCAACCTCGCAAGCATGCAAGCTGGCCTTCAGTCGCCATGTCTGACTTGCTTCATCCAGACCTAACAGGTCCCTTTAAACGGGATGTAGGGATTATATAGGGGTCATGTAGGGATTAAACAGCGATAATATAAGGATTTATTGGATTGGGTTTAATTAGTACTACGACAATAATGGAGAGTCAAGGGGTTTAATTAGTACTATGACAATAATGGAGAGTCAAGGGCCAAAGAGGAACTGGGTTGACTGGGCTGTCAACTGGAACAGAAGATAAAAAAAGGAAATGCAAGCTACTATTTAGGGTCTAGGGCTAGGATAAGGGAGAATTGAATGGAACAATGGAGAAGGACATTGAAACTGAGTTTGACACAGGGACCTGTAGGGTTGTTGGGCTAAGTCGGCATGTTCCAATGCATCACTGTTGTCTATACAAGCAGTTACAAGAAATAAAAGACACTACCTGGTTGTAACGAAGGTTTTTCCATTCCTAAAACAGCCGTTGTGCTTGGAATGAGTTGGTTGGTGGTCCTCTTGGTAGCCTGCTTAGTTGGCTCTTGCAACATGGATCTGAAGAGGCTGGCTCGTGGATTTGGACTATGCAAGACGTTCGCCTTTCCATAAGGGCCGATGCCCAGATCCAACAGCAATTGCGTAGTTTGCGAGTTGGTTGGCGTGACTATTGTTGGACACAGTTTCTGGCGTCCGGCAGACATGAGGCTGAAGATGTTGGCACGGTGGATATCCGTGCGATGCAACGTTGTGATTTCAAGCATTTGGGATCCCTGATGGTTGACCACGGTTGTCGCTCGGTTGCGCTTGGTGCCACCGTCAGTCCGGCTTGGTTTCGCGAACGCACTGAGGTTGCTTCTGATCGCTGTCCTTGGTGTCCTGCTTTGGGTACTTGGGATCACCTTTGTTGGTTGTGTCCGGAGTCGCCGCTGCAGGGTGTTAGACCGGCCATCCCTCGTTGCCCGATCCTCTGCCGTTGGGGCTGGGGTACAGAAGCACAGGCCAACAGGATCGATCCTTCCCTACTTGTCCCAGGTTCAGAAAAGTATCTGGGCAAGCGGATGGGGTCCTTAGCATGGTCCGGCTTGCTCTATTCGGTTCTTTGTTCTTGCATGTGATTGCTTGGACTGTTAGGTTGCTTTGTTTGAGGACTCGCTTTTCCAGTGAGGTGCACTGTACCCTCTATTGTGTGTAGTGAGTCCAAAGGGGTGCCCGGGGCTGCTGGCACCGGAACAAAGTTAGTTAGAACAGGCCCTAACGGGAGTCTTGGGCGAACCCTTGGGGCCATTCCTTGTCCAACCTATCATCTGCCCTGTGCTTGCTCAATATTCCCAATTAGGACAGTGTGGCATAAAGAGAAAAACTTTCCCACTGCATGTCAAATCACGTGCAGGTTGGCCAAATACCGTGGAACCAATCACGGACTTCTCTGCCGCGCGGAAGCCATGCGGGCACATCCTTAGACGACATGGCTCGGGGTGGTATGCTTGATCTAAATGGCTTGGGTGTCTAGAATTTGAATCGCACATTCACCTACAATCACACCTCCTTTTATGTGCCCATACCTACCCATCTATTTCTCATGTGCATGTAAAGGGCTCCTGTGGATAAAGCTATACTGTGATCATGTTGGCACAAGGAGGCCACCGACGAGAGCACACAGGGGGATGCAGAAACGAAGAGAGGCTGAAAGCTGGAGAGGACACACATTCGAATATAACTCCCAACAAGCCTTGAAACTGTTCCCAGAACCCCTGGAAAAGTCTTTATTTGACCTTCAAGATAGGGTAGGTTGGTACTTCTCAAGATTGGATACGCCCGATAAGGACTCGCTGTAGAGGGATCAATCCCTTATGGTCACTATAAGTGGGCGGGAGGTCCTCATGAACCATTTCCTTCAAGCATCAGCTCACAAAACTCGTCCATGTCAATCTCACCGCTGCCGTCTGTATCAGCTACACCTCTGGCACTGCAGTCTAACTGATGTTCAAAGCTGCTTGCTGCCAGAAAACACGCACAGACACCCACAACATGGCTGTTATCCTGCACTGGTCAAACATTGGTACGATGACATGTCAACTGACACCTCCTTGATTCAATCTTTGCAGCTCAAGACCCTCATGCGCAGCAACCGCACGCCCTGCTATCTCGTTAAGGGTGATGGCCGCAAATCTTATCTGAAATTCTTCAAGACCCCTCAGCCCTCCCAAGCAGAACAAGATTCTTTCATATGCCCCAAGCTTGGACACGGCACTGCAAATACAGCAAACAACCTGGGACCTGACCTAAGTGTCTACTCTCTAGGGCTCAGGGGCGTTGCGGTTTAGAGATTCCAGGGTTTGCACACAGTTTTGGGCACCGGGTTTGATGCTTTCATGCCCTCAACGCATGGCTTTCTGGCCAGGCCCTGCATCGTGCGTATGGCGAATAGCAGGTTGTCGCAACTAGCGCCCCTTTGGGTCCTAGGGCACCCAAGAAGGGGCCATCATTGTGATCACCTTCCATATCCTTCCGCATCAGCTTTTGACCTGTGTAGTTGAGCATGCCAAGTGGCAAATGAACTCTTTTGCATAGTCCTTATCCTTGGCACCGATCACAAAATTTTGAGAGGCATCCGAAACAAATCAGGATTTTCTTCTCGGCTAGGTGCAAACGCAAGAAGTAGCTACTGCATTGCGTGGCTGCTGAAGCTCCCGCGGTTCCTCGCTGACATGCGCCGCGTGTAGCTACAGCAACACAGAAGAGTTGAAATCATCCAACCCTCACCCATCATTACGTCATACTGCGCTTTGCGCCTACATTCCTGTCCCTACCTGGAATATTGATTCTGACCATCCAATTACAATGCGTAACGTCACCATTCTTACGAGCGCAACTTGCATATGCCAGCATGAGCGTCGCTGCCTCCGCATGCTCAAATGGTACGTCTAATTGTTCTTGGCAGGTCAGAAACTGCTTGTCTGTTACTATGACACCAAAATGCTTGCCAAACATCATCCAGGCGGCTATGAGGCCCGACAGAATGAGTTCGTTCGCAGAGACGCTTCCCCCGCCATCTTTGTCAAAGAAGTTGAAGACAGCCTGACACGGCTGACAAACTCACAGTACCCGCAGTAATGCTATCGGAAACACAGCATTGATTCTGGCAATCAACTAGGACCTAGGAGAGCTTTGCAGGGAGCTTCTTTGGCTAACCAGCCTTCACCTACCTGGCAGGTAATACAGAGGCGTCTGAATATTAAAGGGAGGCGATAATCCTATAGCTACTGTACCAACACTAGGGAAGGTTTGGGGGCCCTAAAAGAATCAGACTTTTTTGTTGTGTAGGGGTTATATATGGACTAAGCGTAATGGAAATTGCAAATATGTTCAAACCTACCCCTGAAAAGACTATACACTTCAGAACCCCCATATAGGTGCTTGGAAACTTTGGACTGCATGATGCTAACCACAAAATGACTGAAGCAGCGGGTGGCGAAGATATGGAAAAGGTGGTTCGCATTACAGACCCCCAAACAAGCTGCAAGCCTCATCGTAAAGATTCCCAGAAAAAGACCCCGAATTCTTAGAAACCTTAGCCCCAATACACCAGTGTATAATCCAAGTTTCCATTTCATCTCCCATGTTCTTTTCCCCTTGATTCATGTGCCAAATTGCTGGATCATCCCTGATCCCTTAACCCATATGCTTCCTGATAACCCTAAATCCCTAAACCCTAATCCTATACCATAGTAGTTTTCGTTTCCTTTGTCATTATCCCTGTTCAACCACCACCCGGTAAAATGCTAAAGACTATAATCCCCTATAATCCCATATATAGTACCAGTTTCCATTTCATTGTCCATTTTCTTTTCCATTTGATTCTCCATTATTGGGGGTAATATCCCCAAACTCTAGACCCTAAATAGTAGTTTCCATTTCATTTTCCATTTTCTTTTCCATTTGATTCTCCATTATTAATGGGGGATCCTAGTGGTGGCCTGGAGCGCCGCCTTCTCTTCCGCCGGTAGAACAGGTGGGGGGCTCACTTGCCACCTGTCGCCTCGACTGCAACACTAATTGGTAGTTTCCCAAAAAGAAGGGGACCCCAATATAGTATACTATAGTCCTTATTATGGGAACCCCCAAACTGGTACCCCTAATTTTGGGAAACTCCCAATTGAAACCCTAGTGCCACTTAGCCTTGTCGTTTCTGTTCTTTATCTATTTGGTTCGAGTATAAACTGACAGGTAAGGTGTTCTGCAACATAGTCGTCACAGGTTCATTCTAATCGGTGCTGCTTTCAGGCTACTATCAAGTTTTCGCGGCTCGACCCAAGAAGAAGCAAGAAATGTAGAAACTTGCCACTCTGGCCGCGTTTCTGCATGTCAGCCCGGAACCACACGCTGGCTTCTTTCTACGTGTGGGATGCATGTGTATATATACATATATATACAGATATAGTTCAAGGTCTAGGGATTAGGGGACATCATGAAATTGTTCTCGCAGCGCCAGCTTTTGAAGTTTGGAGAGGCCGTCTGATCCTGCTGGATGCAGACGTGAAAGCCCTGAAGACCCAGGAACCATCCGCATGCCGCTCCCTCAGACTCAACACATACATGGGGCTTTCCCAAAATTAGGGCACCTTTTTGGGGGTCCTCATAATAAGGATTATAGTATGTTGGGGTCTATATTGGTCCCCTTATTTTGGGAAACTACCACATGACTTTATAGACTTATAGGAACCCGTTGGTGCGGAAAATAAAAATGGAAACTACTGTTTAGGGTTTAGGGTTTAGAATCAGTGGATCAGCAGCCAGGAGACGTGTACTGTTGATCTCATTGCACCAGCTTTTCATCTGTCTCAGATCTTCCTCTGTAGAGCAGGACCAGATCAGACGCATAATGTCCTGCCCAAGGATTGCAAGAGTCAGAGGGTCTTAGTAGCAAGGGAATACAATCCCTACATACTATTTCCCGTATTCCCTACTGGAACCAGTAAGAAGGATTCCGAGAGTGAGCGGCTGCGGCTACTGCTTCAGCACTCATCAGCCATGTCCTCGATGCAGAAGCTTTGCTTGCGCGCATTTGTCAGCACCTCGTGCAGCCAGCAAAATATGGCACTCAATAAGGTTCGGGTTTGCAATTGCCCCTCAATCTCTGCGAATGTGTCCGCAAAATTGGACGCAGTACTTCAAACCTTGCAGAGGCACTCCAAGTGGCACTTTGACGCATGTAGCGGCCTGACCGATTTTTCTGAACCCTATAAAGCCTTTTAAAATTCAAAACTCATTTTCTGGGATGGCACCGAGGAAAGGCGATCACAGAAGCGTTGGACGAAGCGAGGTCGCTCCTGGCTCTACTTACTCATGTGAGCTGTTGTCTAAACTCCTAGTATCCCCCTGAATAACCCCTATGGTAGTCCCCTATATAATGCCTTATATAACCCCCCTTTAAGGAGTTTAGACTCCAGCTCATGTAGGGTTTACGGTTTATGGTTGGGGCTCAGAGGCTTGACTATTTACAATATTGGAATCTCAACGGGCAAGAGGCACGGAACATAATGTAACGCAGGCTCCAAGCTTACTACAGGAGGGTTGGGCGGGGGGGTGGCGGGGCACATTTTCTATAGCTGCACAAATTAAGCTAATACGAAGCAACATAGCGCGTACACTCGTATACAATCACCATGGAAATCCCCATGACCCAGCTAAGAATTAGCAAGGCCAAGTGCTTTCAACATCCCAAGATCACCCTTGTTAACATGGATTATACCCACCATGTGTATGAGGTCTATACGGTAGAAGAAACGCTTAAGCGGCTGCAAAGAAAGCAAAAGCCACACTCATGCTGGGTACTAGATGACTTACAGGGGCTTAACAGCAAATGGGAAATGTGGGAATATCTGTGCAGGGACTATATTCCCTCACTCCCTACTAACTCCCAGCAACAAAATCGTGGGGAGAGGCGGGGGTGGGCATCAATGAAGAAGTTCGGAAAGACCATCAACGTATCCTAGCATGGAGGCACAACATCAAGAACAAGCAGCGCAACAACAATGACCTGGTAGCAAACGCCCTGAGTCCTCCATGATCCGCATTTTAGACGGAATGTTCCAAAGCCCCGTATATTAAAGGAGATGTGGCTATGAAGCGCTATATACACCCAGTTTCCATGTTGCTTTCTATGCGGTTCTCCGTTCTTGACACTATCCCTATGCAACGCCCAAATACTCCTCAAATTAGGGTTTGGGCTTTAGGGTTTAGGGGTTTCGGGGTTCAGGGGTTTAGGGTTTCAGCCGATGGGGGTACTATTCCTATTTCTATACCATTTCTATGGCTATTACTGTTGCCAGTACTGTTGTTACTGAAGATTACTACTACTACTACTACTACTACTACTACTCCTGCTGCTGCTGCTGCTGCTGCTGCTGCTGTGACTACTCTTACGAATGCTGATACTACTATAGTTGCTATTGCTGCTCTTGCTGTCACAGTAGTTTTACTGAACCCTAAACCCCACCCCAAGCCCGCTAAATAGCAGTTTCCATTTTATTTCCATTATCCCTATATAAGCCCTATATTATACCCCTATAAGCTAAATCCCAAAAGGTGCATACCAGGCTCCTCTGCGGGTGTGTTAGCGAGCCAACCGGGCAGCCGACTTGCACCACCTCGGCAGGCAGTTTCACAAATACTGGGTTGCTGTTAAGGAACTTAAATTAAGCTACCATAATGGCCTATAATGGAGAATCAAATGGAAAATAAAATGGAAAATGAAATGGAAACTGGGGGAATATAGGGATTTAAGGAACTTAATTTAAGCTACCAGAATGGGTGTGTATATATAGGATTTACCCAATATAGCAGCTTGATCTAAGTTCCTCAACAGCATCCCGGTAGTTTCAGAAGCAGGGGGACCTGAATACAGACCCCCCATACTACAGTCCTCATTATGAGGAGCCCAAAGAGTAGGTGAAAACATGGCAAAGTAAACGCGACGAGCTCACTAACCCTTTGGACGCTTTGGCAATTTCCACACTTCAGCTTCTGATTTCCTCCGCAGGCGTCATAGTTGCCAACCTCCGCCGCGAACCAACTTCTGCCAGGTGCTGAGTTTCCATTTCATTTTCCATTTTATTTTCCATTTTATTTTCCATTATAGGCCATTATGGTAGCTTAATTTAAGTTCCTTAACAGCAACCCAGTACCTGTAATTGCTGCCCGTCAGTGCTCAGTGCTCTTGAAAAGCTGCTAGTGCTGCCCACCACCACCGCCGCAACCAGTCTGATTGCCTCATGAGCTGCGCATTTCAAGGCCCTGTCAACAGAGCTAAGGAAAGTGCTATCGAAGTTCTTGCCGCTCATCGTATTGCCGCCGGCTGTCCTAGGGCGACGCGGCATGTGGAACGCATAAATGTGATCACACCTCTATGAAAGGCTTGAAGCCGCGAACTCTGACCTCGATTTAACCTGAGAGCCATGCAGATGGAGACGTGTGGGTTTCCCAAGATTAGGGGTAATTGAGGTCTAGTGGTCCTTTGGGGAACATTTTGGAAAAATACCCATGTCAGCAAGACGGACTAGAGTTGTGACACAGACACCGTGCGGTCTTCAAAGTAAAGCTCAAGGACGAGATGCCAGTCACTCGCAGCCACCACATCTATCATCAAGCCTCACAAACGACATGCTGTCACCGCCCATGATGCGAAACTCAAGCAGGAGCAGGATTTGGCGGGGATAGCCGAATGCAGTTGCACGAGTCAGCTGCCGTAAGGTGGATGTTGCATGTGGCGTGATGCCAGGAAGCGAGCGGAAGCAGCCGGCAGATGTCGAAGCTAGACTGCGACGTACATCTCCGAAACTACCGCGGATGGAGTTCGTATCATTCTGCAGTTTAGCAATATCAATTTCATAGCTGTTCTGTCATCGACTCCTCCTCTTATACCATGCGAATCATGGTAGACAGGTCTTATATACATAATACATACAAATAGAAAATACATATATATATATATGCACATGTACACATATTTGGTGGTTTCCGTAAATAGGGACATCCCAAAGTAGACCTCAAAAGAACATAATCCTTATTATGGGGACCCCGAAATGTACCCCTAATTTTAGGAAACCCCCATATGAAAGAATGATCCCAACCTTAGGAGGTCTCTGTGGAATGCCCGTGCAGTCCCTACCGAAGACACCCTACGCCCTCTAGTCCCACTTAGGTAGATAGAATATGGCATTTTGGTATATTACATCAAAATCCCCATATACCCCATATTCTATCTACTCAAAGGGGACTATAAGCCCTAAACCCTAAACCCCTAAACCCTAAACCCCTAAACACTTAACCCCTAAAACCTAAACCTATTCTATCTACTTAAGGGGGACTATAAGCCCTAAACCCTAAACCCCTAAACCCTAAACCCCTAAACACTCCTAAACCTGTTCTATCTACTTAAGGGGGACCATAAACCCTAAACCCCTAAACCTCCTTGCTTAGCAACGGTCTCCCAGACTCCGTATCTCTGCCAGGTCCACTCGGCCAGAGCTGTCAACATCCTTGAAACTAAAAAAGATGAGTAGAGTCAGGTTTGGGGTTGGGGGTTTAGGGTTTAGGGTCATGTTTGGGGGTCATATGAGCTATAGTCTAAGCTCCTCAAAGGAGACTATATAGGGACTGCTGTGTGGGTTGAAATTAAACAATGAGTAGAGTCAGGTCTTAGGTTTTAGGGTTTTGGGGTATATTCTACGATAGACATGCTACAGTACTGGTACTTCTTCAGGCTGCCATATAACTAGAATGGAGCCATCAGGTTACTGGAGTAAGTAGGAATACGCCTAATATACTATAGTTGTTTCCGTTTTCTTTTCCATTATCCCCTATATGACCCCTATATAACCCCTGCAGAACCCCCATATAACCCCTATATAACCCGTTATATGACCCATTATAGTACTCATTGTAGGGATTAATTAAATAGGCAACGCCTGCGAGCTTTGGGATTCTGTTGGCATGGCTTTCTTTCAGGTTGCGAGGGGTCTCTCGAACTTGCAGTCAACGTAAGGTTCTTAGAATAAGGTATGCGTTAAGTGAGGTGCATGAAGGGCGTCTGAGCTTTATGTATGTCAGTTTAGGGCTTAGGTTTTAGGATTTCAGGTTGAGGGTTTAGGGCTGTTACAATTAGAATAGGACGTCGTAACGTGCGTCCAGCCACGCACTTCCTTGGTCGGCGGAACTTGGCAAGCCATTGCACCGCTACACCCTCTGCCTGCCCAACCACATCCATCCCTCCACTTTGGGGCACTGTCCCTTTAATAAGCTCATGATAGCCATGTTGTAACCCTTTTTCAGGACTCATCAACAACCCCAAAAAAGCACAAAGCAAGTCCCAGGCAACCTCCCGAAAGCCCTTGCGCCCACAGCCGTGCCATCTCAAAGTCAAAGTACTGCGAAGTCGTGTTGCGACTGGTTACTACGCTTGATTCTAGAAGGCTCCGCATGACCTTAATCTACCACACTACCATAACTCCCTGGGTGGGAGATACTTCGTGTCAGCAGCACTGCTAGTATCAACCGTAGTTACCGTAGTTTTTTGACTCCATTGCTTGCCGCATAAACGACCCTTTCAGCAGCCAAGCTACAATCTTGTCCCAGGCTCGAATTAGCTTGTGCATGTCGTCTTTTGTGCCTCAGAAGCATAGGAGGTTTCCCAGAAGGGGATGAACAGGGGTATATAGGTAGATATAAGGGTATACAGGAATATATAGGGTTTGCATTCAGGGCTTGGGTTTTGCAAAATTCGGGGTACCATGTTTTGGGAGGTCCCCATAATAAAGACTATAGCATTTTGGGGTCTATACATTGGGCTCCCCCATTTAGGGAAGCCACCACAATATCGGCTTCTCAGAGTCACTGGGCATTTGCAGGGTCCGGGTCATAACAACCCCAGGCTTTGTAGCATATAGGAGTCGAGGGCCGTAATTTGGAGGCAGGTGCCACATCCAGGCCGAACTATTATTGGGCTTACGATTGGCTTTGGTATTGGCACTTGGGACAAAGCCAGCCACACAAAATGTGCTTCACTGTCCTCGAGACTCCGATGCGCACATGTGCCCCACATGAGTTCGTGGCAACTCTTACTCGAAGTAGACAACGTTATTGTGAACGTCACAACTGCTAACACCAGCTAGAAAAGTCCGAATCAAGAGCGGCAATCACAATAGCTCAGCTCAATGCCGCAGCTTTCGAAGAACCTAAGCAGCACAGCAAAATTTCGAAGTCAAGAATCACAAGCTTTGCGTTCCTCTACAAGTTGTGAAGAAGGCCAGAAGGTCGTTCTGTATTGCGCTTCTACCTTTTTAACAGTTCATACTGCACGCAGACAAGTCGCGCGTTCTCCCTGTCCTTTTTGTTGCGACAGTTCCTGGTCACAGGCATGTGTGGACAGGGGCTCATGCAGCATGGCCAGCTCAAACGAAAAGCGATTCATGACGCGCAGTACAGCTGGTTGCGCTGCTCCCGGTTTGCTGTCAGAATGAAAAGGCTGAATGGGAAGGCCATCATGAGCAGTACTGCTCAATTGCAACTCGTCCCCTCCCCTGGTATTAAACCCCTCCCCCACCTTGTACTCCCAACCATACCTTACAGATAAAAACGTGTGTATTTGTACACGTAACGGTCCTTTTCCTGCCAAAGTGCGAAGGGTCTCTGACAACATGTGGGGGGAAAGGAATCAATTCTTGATGCTGCTCTTGCAGCGCACGGGTTGTCAGACAAGTCTCTCGTTGCCGACCGCACCAAGCACAAACCTCAGCAAGCTTGGATGAGATAGAGAATTGGGATGACCAATCCCACGCAGGAATCCGAATATAAACACGTCGAGCAATGCCGTCCCCCTATATACTCCAAAATAGTCTATAACCCCATCATAGGTCTCCCCAAAAAGCACCGATACACTGAACTGCAACTCCAACGCCCCAATCCATACTGGTGCTGACAGGGTACTGGGGAGAATATCAACAACATTCTAGAGGATTCTGAGGGGATATTATGAGGATGCACTCATCCACTCTCCTTTTATCATTCCTAAGGGTTTGCACAGGTATCCTAGCGTCAATTTCTGGAATCTTTCCTAGCTAAGGTGTATCGGGTCCTTTGGATGCATCACGCCCCACTAAGCTAGTAGACCGTCTGATAAGCAATGCTATGGTTGGAAGCCTGAGAAGTTTAACGACCATGAGACTTCCTTATTGCACTTACATGAGGGTCCTGCACGATCAATATCCCCAAAGTCCTGTTCTGATTTTTTAGGCCCCTACATTACGTATAGTTTGTGGGGTGGTCATGGTAGCACTCTACAATCCTTTGAAATTTGTAGAACTGCCTGGGTCAGCAGGCAACTTTCTCAAGTTTCCCCTTCTGTTGATGATCTCAACAGTCTTGGCGCAAAAGACCTGATTTTTTGACTCCCCCAATCGCAGCTTGCAATGCTCTAATGGAAACAGTAGACTCACGCTCCGGGTCCTGACATCGGCGCTGAGAAGATTGCAAGTTCTAGACTCAGGTTTGAGAACTTTTTCGGCATCAGCAACCAGCAACTAAGATTTTGTCAACCCCGGCTGCGCTGTGCAAAGCCTTCCAAACGGATTTCTGCCCGGCAAGGACGAAA